TGGTATAAACATTTTATGTTAATTTCAATGGCTTACACACTGTAGTTTGACATACTACAATTATAGTCAGTTCTTTCCCATTTCTTCTGCAAAAAAAAAAGATGCTGTTTATCAGGGCACAGAGTCTTATCAAGAAAGAAAGTTTCACTGAATAAAAAATTAAGTGATTTTAAATTTAATTTCATATCTTTAAGAGAAAGAGGCAAGTGCTTCCTAAAATAGACTTTATAATTTGCTGTCATCTTTAGATTGCCATGTTTTGGATCTCATTTCCGTTAGCATAAAGCTTCTTAAAATGAGGGGGTTAAGCTATGATTCAGAATGAGCTTCCTCGGTGCTCACACGTGAACAATAACTAGAATCAGTGGCTGTTCATTTTAGAGGCTGATTTGAGTTTTATGAAATACATAGCGTTAATATATAATAATATGCTACCCCCGATTAGAAATTCTAGGTTCTGGTTATGGCTAGTAAAGCCGTACACTTGGCAAATAACTTTACCTTCGTGCTCTTCAGTTTCTTCATCTCTAAAATCAGTGTTAGATTAGTAAGACTCTGTCTACCAACGTTGAATTTCTAAAACAAAAATGCATTTAATTGTTTGTGTTATCACAGCTGTCATAGTTTTATATATGCATATTTATATATGCCAGTATACGAATGGGTATATCTACATACCTAGGAATAGATGATCATATAAAAGAACTAACTTACTGATTGCTTGCTAGGAAACACCGATAGCAAAAATCATTTTACTTCTATTGCCATGTTTTTAAATAGTTACTTTAATTTTTAATATTTTCCCTATATTAAAAAGAATACCGTATTAAAAGAAACACATCATTAAGCAGCTGACTACTTTGGAATTCAGTGCTAAGCACACTACAGATTTTTGTTGTAAAGACTTAGTTTGTAAAATGAAAGTATTTATAAATATTTAATTTTTCTCAGTATGCAAATTCCTAGTATACAGTGTATCTCAAATATTTTAATAATGTAATATCAAGTGTAAAATCAGTATCTGAGAATTTAAAGTGATCACAACATGTAGTCATAATGATTTTTTGAATAATTAGGCTTCCTTTGGCTTTGTTAATCATACAAAAGCTATTTGGCAATTGTTACAGCCATATTACAGATGCTTGCTAATTTTTAAAAATTATGGTAAGATACATATAACATAAAATTACCTTTTTAACCATTTTTGAGTATACTGTTCAGTGGCATTAAGTATAATTCATATTGTTGTGCAGCCATCACCACTTTCCATCTCTAGAACTTTCTCATCATCCCAAACTGAAACTCTCTACCCTTTAAACACTAACTTCCCATTTTCTCTTCTCCCAGCTTCCAGTAACCACCATTTTACTTTCTGTCTGCATGAATTTGTCAATGCCAAGTATCTCGTATAAGAAGAGTCATAATATTTGTCCTTTTGTGTCTGGCTTATTTCACTTAGCATCATCGTTTCAGAATTTCACTCCTTTTAAAGGCTGAATAATATTCCATCATATATATATATATATACACCCACCACACACACACCCACCCACACACACACCCACACACACATACACAAGTTGCTTATCTGTTCATCTGCCAGTGGACACTTGGGCTGCTTCCACCTCTTGGCTGTTGTGAAGAATGCTCCTGTGAACATGGGTGTGCAAATATCTGTTTGAGTCCCTTCTTTCAATTTTTGGGGGTATGTAGGCTCAGAAGTGGAATCGCTACATCATATGGTAATTCTGTGTTTAAGTTTTTGAGGAACCACCATACTTCCCTGATGTTTATAATGTCCAGTTAAATGTTGTTAGATTATGATTGGATAAAGTTAGCCTGGATTTCTTTGGATTTTAACTTTTCAAATACCTTTAAGAACTGTTGAAGGACACGTCATTTAATATTTTGAGTTTCTGGTACTCAGGTGAATTAGCTCTGATTGTGGAACTTTACTATCTTTGGTTTCTCTAGGAATGTTCTACTTGGATTCTGTAGAAATTAAGCTGGAATAGTAAAGAAAAGTAGCAGTTCAAATGATCAAATAGTAGACCTCTGACCAAATTTAACAAGTTATGATTGCCCTCTAAGCTACAAATTTTAGGATCTCTGCCAAGATTTCAACAGTTGTTCGGGCCACAGAATTTACCCACTATAGTGAATGGGGATTCAGTGGCATGGCCTAACAAGAATGAGGACTAGCTTAATCAGGTAATTGACAGTGTTTAAACAACAACAAAATATAAATTTGCTTTCCACTGAATAATTTAGAATTGGAATCTTAGCTTCCCCAGTGGGCTTTGAAGGAAAGGAAACATAACGCCAAATGGTCACTAGTCTCCTAGTTATTGAAGCTCAGTGTTTTTGTCTGTTAGTTATTTCTTTGAAAACATGCTCTTGTTTGTAAAATCTCATTAATCTTAAAAACAGGGTGTGGCTCCAGTCCACTCTCATAAGATGCATTAAGGGGTTATTTGTCTTTCTTTGGCTTAAGTATCCAAGAGAACATGCTTTTCTGAAATAAGCACTCATGATTCTAAAGAATGTTTCTGTAAAATCTGTTCAACATTTGAATTTGGATTCTTTAACTTTTGTGTTTTTTCTAAAGTTAACAGTTGATCACATAAATTTAAGATTTAGAGATATGTCAAAGAAGTAGGGATAATCTTGTATAATCTTGGAGTGTATATTTTTAAAACATCTCTCTTTTCGTATGATTTTAATTTCCTATGACATGTAAGAAAACTTCATTTTCTTGGTCGCTAAATAGTCATAATGAATGCATTGCTTTTAGGTCTTGCTATAGGGAGACTTGAATGTTTTGTTCTCAGAGAACTAAGTCCACATTCATCTGTCCATTTAATTAATATTTGCCTGCTGTGTTCTAGGCACCTTGCTGGTCAGTAGGGATATAGTGGGGAATGTAATAGACATGGGATCCTTTTTCCACTCGAGTTTACAGTGTAGCGTAGGGAGAGTCAAATGACCTCATGAGCACCTGCAGACTGACATTTGTGGCAAAAATAAGGGACCATGAAGGTTTATGAAGGGGGATCTAGTTGAGGTTGGAGATGGCAAGTCAGACCTCTTGAGAAATGTGGATAGTAATTTGTACACTTGACTCCCCTATAACATGAATTCTCTTAATGTAAGGCCTGGTTTTATTCATCAGAGATTTATGCATCAGAGTTTAAAACAATGCCTGGAATGCGGTTGATCTTCAATTAAGTGTGTACTGATTAATCTCCTGGTGTGATAGTAGAGCTAGGGAAGGAGATACTGGCTGCAGTGGTGATGGGGGACCTGCAGCTTCTGTGGCAGTCACATTGGACCCCTTCCTAGCCCGTGCTGGCTTCCTAAGTGCCCACCTGAGGAATAAGGTTTTAGGTATTATTGACGTGTCAAGTTCTGAATATTCACGTCTGCAGACAGCGGTGGGCTTTGAGTTATAATCGTTCTCGTATGTAGAAAAAATACATAATGAATGTTTTTATGCCTTGGTTTGGAACATTTCTTAGTTTCTTTGTCGCATAGCTAAAAGAACATATAGATCACTTTATTTTGCTGGTCTGATTAGTACCACTATCTTTTTAAGAAGTTTAAATTACAGGTATTTTTGGAGTTGTGCTATTTGGACTGGTTGTTAGAGCCACTAGGAAATTTGCTGTAAAATTGTGTTTTTACTTTTCTGCTCTCAACAGTTACAAAATAATTGGTTTAGGGAAATAAGTTTTAAACATATACATGGTTTTATAAATTTGTTTCCAAACGGAGGTAAGGAAAGGTGTCAGTCCTCTCCTCACCCCAACATGCCTTTCTAAAGTAGAAGTTTATAAAGGAAAAGTGTTGAAAATGCCTGTTTGCATTTTTGAATTTATCCTCAGGGTCTTGCTTATTTGAGTAAGTCCCAAGTGTTATAGTCTGCAAACCTTTTAAAGTCTGCTAAGCCTGTGGATAGACTAGCTAGTTTTGATGGCTATGGTGTTAAATTGCTTTGGAAAGGAGAGAATGAATTGCTTTAAGTATATTTTTTTAATCAAGCAGACGCCTGTGTTGAAACGAATACATAAGAGATTTAGGCATAGAGCAACGACAGTTTTATTTTTCTGTCTCAATTTAATTGGCCTTGTTCCTTTCTTAACTTTAAAACAAATTGAATTCTATTTACCTCTGTTACCCGCCCCGCCCCCCCCATCTCATAGTAAGGGTTCTCTCCTGTTAGGGTACCTACACATCTATTTCTCTTAGGACATTGGCATCAGACAGGAGTTCTCCCCAGCCCCCTGCCAGCCCATCAACCCCCATCTGGCCTGTCCCTGGTCTTAGTGTGGTGCTTCCTCTCTCTAAGGCTAATCCTTCCCTTGGGCTTTCCATCGACCTATGTCAGACTCTTCTAGGATCCTTTTCATCCCTCATTCCTCCTTTCTCCTGTATTTCTAGCTTTTCCTTTCCTGGTTTTTGCCCCACAGCCTATGAACATGCCCCTGTATCTCATATCCTAAAACTGAAGCCATGACGGCCCTTGGAAACAAAGTTACTTTAAAGGGATCTGCTGCATTCCCCACCATGAACCCCTTCAACTTACCCACATCTATTTTTTTGCCTCTGTCATTTCTATTGAGCATCGTCTTGAGGTCACCAGTGGCCTCCTACTTGCCAAACGAGTCGGCATTTTCAGGCCTCGTCCCTGCCCTTCCTTTGACATTTCACACCTATCCAACCCCCTTGAAACATTCGCCTCTCTTGGTTTCAGGGCTGCCACCCTCTCCTGTCCCCGTATCCGCACCTAGATCTTTCATGCTGAATCATAGTCACTGGCCTCCTTCCCCTTCAGTGCTGGTCTTCTCCCAGTGAGGGGTCTTCTTTACCCCTGTGATTTTATTGACCACCGATGGACTGATAACTCCCACCATTTTAATTCGAGCCTAGAGCTGCTTTCCTTTGCTCTGGCTCATGTTAGCTAATCGCTTACTGGGCATATCTCCCTCCATTTCCCACAGGAATCGCCAACTCACCACTATGAAGATGGAACCGGATCGTCACCGGAGATTGTTTCTGGTCTAACAGTTGTTCATCCGGATTGGAAACCTTCATCCTGCTGGTCTTGGTGGTCTCCTCATTCATGTCCCAGCTTACATCTCACTGTCTCTGGGATTCCTTCCATAACTGATGCAGGTAAAGAGCTAATCATTCCCTTTCTCCTCTACACAGCCACTTCCCTTCTGGATTACTATACTTGGCACATGTTGGTGTGATCGTTTGCATGTTTGCCCTGTGTCTGGAGGGCGGGGACTGTACTGTCTGTCAGTGGACCTCCAGTGCCTGGAGCAGTCCTCATCCTTGGTAGGTGCTCAGCAAACCTTGTAATAAATCGTAAATCCCGATCCCAGCACTTACAAGCAACTGTTGTGGTTAATATGATAATTACAATGGACTGATAGAGTAGATAATAGATTTATTTTATACTCCTTTCCATATTTACTACATAAAAATGGAAAAACTGAGAAAAAAAAAACCACACAATTTTTTTCTGTAAACCTAATGTGATGAGAACCCAAGGTAATATTAAACAACTGCTAGTATGTTCTGGAGAAAGTTGCCTCAAACGTTCTTTGATTCATTCTTAAAAAGCAGGGAAAGGATATTAAGTGAAAGTTTTTTGTGTTATGCCAGCAAAAGTAGACTGTCACTCTTTGTATAATGCACTTGTCTGGCTAAAAATATGTATGTAAAATCACCTGTGATAAAATGTCCATTTAATATGACAAGAAGATTTTTCATCTACAATAACATTAGAGAAATGCCTTTATGTTATAGGGAATTTAGAAAATACAGCCATCAAGAAACATTTAAAACCATAATTTCACTGCAAGGAGTAACCACTGTTACCATCCTAGTGTATTTTCTACTCTTTCTCCATGAATATATAAAACATATAGAGATTGTTATCTATGAATGTATAAAACATAGAGACTGTTATTTTGGAACCATCGGACTTAACAATACATTGCAATTCCATAGTTTTAGAAATTCTTTTATAACCTTTTTAATGGTTTCATAGTATTCAATTATATGAATAAACCTTTGTCAATGGACATTGTTTAACTTTTTTGCTTTATGATAGGGCTACAATAAATTTAAGTATTGGTAAACTTTTAAGATGAGTAGTCAAGTGTTTTATTACTTGAGTAAGTATGCACACATAAATGAATGCAGAGGTGAATTAGAATAAACACCGCTTAACAAACTGTGTGAAGAAAGGACATTATGGTCACTGTTAGAAGAAGTTTTCCAGGAAAATTTGCACTGAAAGTCTGAATATCACTCTCTGGGTTGGTCTGAGTTTGGCTTCCCTGAGAGTCTAGAAGAGCCCTTTCAAGGGG